TTCAACTTACCATATTACTAAATACTACTACTACTACTAATAATAATGTAAATAATTCATCTCTGTAAATAGAAGTTTGTTTACTGTATCCGTTTAGAATCTTTTATTGTATGCATATAAAACATAATGTCATTGAATTCAAATTTAATACATCTTTTATAGTAACTTAATAAATGATGAGATATACTCAAAAATACTTTTTGATAATTAGTTATTAGTTTACTTTAATAACTAGTATATAATGATGTACAATTTCACACTAAATAACAGTTTTATTAAATATGTTGATTGTTAATAAGACAATGAATTATGGCAAACTAAACGAAAAATAAATATTTTTCTTTAATACAACAAATATTTGAACTATGAAAAAATGTTTAAAATTACAAGTATGTCATTAAAAATTTAAAAAAAATATTTTATGGTAATGTAATTTAATTTAAATAGGGTACATTTTGCTTGTTTGACAATAAAAAAAACTCTTCTTATTCAACATAACAAACCGTCACAACGCTTACTAAAAATAAAAATCATAAATAATATAATAATAGATTGTAGGTATATCTGTTCAATTTTGATTGAAAAATGTGTAAAAATTACTGGGAATAAGATAATAATTTAATATTATTGAAAAGGTTAAAAGCGCATACAATAAATAATACCAATACAAAGTATAGGTATATTGAATAAAAAAATGTAATAATCTAGTGTTGGCCTGCACAAGTTTGTGTGTCTTATATAATGTATGTAGTGTGGTTTGCGCAGTGTATGGTGATCGATAACATCGACGTATCCGTTCGGGTTTACGACAAAACGGAGAAAAAGAAAATAAATTGAAAGGCTACAAAAGGTCGGAAAAGTCGGTTCTTTTTTCCACTCCCTTCCCTCATCTTTCGATTCAAAAATCTAGCAACATACATTACATATATATTATTATTGTTATAACAATTCGGGTGACAGGTTAGGTTTTGAGGGGTGACAAAGGAAGAACGATAAGAATGATCACCGGGGGTGAATGGGCCTAGGGACAGTTAAGGAGTGCAAGGGGATACTGGGGAGGGTGATAAAGAAGAGCAAAATTGGCGGTGAGGGGGAGGCGTGGCAATCTGGATGGCGCTGATAAGACGACGCCCGTAGTTACCGTCGAGAGTAGCCATGGCAACTGACTTTACGGAAGCCGTCGCCGTGTCATACCGGAAACGATGCTACCTCGGAGATTTTCTCGTTACAGCTTTATATATTATATTATATATACACGTATATATTGTATATTATATTTACTATATACATTATACATTGTATTCGGAGGATAGGGTTTTCGTAATGAGAACAAAAACGTATTTTTTTAAACGCTTTTTTTTCTTTGCTCGTCCCAAAATCTTTTTACCTAAACATATTATGTAAACGCATCTTTAATATCTTTTACGAGGTTGATCTTATAGTATACAATGATATGATATGCATTGATATCTACGTATTAAAAAGTACAAATATCAAAATGTTCAACCGATGTAAAGTAGACGATACTAAATGTTAATATTTTATATTACCCATGTTTGTAGAATTTTAACTATATTAATATTCATAAATCCTGGAAAATTAATTTAATAATGGCAATGATTAATGTATAGTTATGTCAAATGTTGATTATTGAATATTTCGTTTGTATATTTATATACAACACGAGTATATTTTGTTTTATATGGTGACATTATTATGATAAACTGACCATTGATAATCACATAGCTAGCTAAAAACAGTAACAACCAAATGATGAAGTTATTTTCACTGTTTATTTAATTGAAATCAAAATTGAATGGAATTAATTATGAAATGCAATTTGCAAATAGTAGTAACCCATACTGTTTAGCAGCTCGATAATAATAATAATAATAATATCATGTTGACTTAGTATCAATATATTATTAATTAAGTATTACATTTATTACGGTGATTTATCTATTTTACCCTACATAGAAATATACCTAACCTAATAATAATATTTTTATTATTTTTGTATTGTCTGTGCACAATTACAGAAAAAAATGTAATCTATCATCCGAACTGACGCGATGAGTATAGTTTTTGATGAGGCTGTGTTAAATTTGTGTGGTATATAAACGACTCCTATTATTATCAAACCGCAGCCACTAGAATTAGATAAGATGCTGCATCAATACTTCTAACTCATCCATACCTACTGCATAATATAAATAAGTAGAAATATTGTGAATAAAACCAGTTGCGTCAAGTAGTGATGTAATTTTTTCGTTGAAATGCGGTTTTATTTCTCTAGGTCAACTGGTTCGTTATTTACGTATTGTATAACACATAATAATAATTTATTTATATATATGTATATACTATAATGTGACAACTTTTCGTACGCGGTAGTTGGACATACCTAAATTATACAATATAATATCATAATAATGAATGGATGTGACCGTTTTCAGGGAACCCTCGACTCTCGAGTTCGTACATTTTTTTCGTCCTCTCTTACTCTGTCTGCAATGCAGTAAGAACAAAAACAACGACGCCTATCGGTTTCCCATATCATATACCGTCCCCTCTCACTTTCTCTTTCTCTCTCATCATGTCTTTGTCTCTTTCTCTCTCGGGGCATTAACTTTATTAGGAGCGCGGACTGGTAAACGCGTGTCCCGCACGTGCACCGGGTCGCGCTAATCCCAGTTTAGTCACCTCGGCGTAGCCGCTGGAGCACCCGTAATACCCGATTATCGTCGTCAGTGAGCCGCTCGTGCGCGCGCTTGTGTGTACTTAGGGGATGAAAAAAAATAAAAAATAAAATACTGCAAACGCCGCACGTCGACAATCTTTAGTTTTGATTTCGCCGCGTAATCCGATTATCTTTTAGTGACATTTTGGCACCGTTAAACGTACTTTTGCACCCACACAAGTTGCGCGCGCACAAGAGAGAAAGAGAGAAATGCTGCATCGAGTGGACTCGAGAAAAGGTGACTTGCCCCTGTTGCAAACCGTATAATCGTGATTAAAGTCACGATTCGTGAGAATTTCGTTTCCCCTATATTATTATATGTATTGTATAATAATACATTATGTACATGCATACTCACTCACATAAAAATACACGTATATATTATATCGCTAAAATTATGTATCTATGTGCAGTGCTTAAATATAGCTCACGTTTACAGTTTTTCAATAAGAAATTGAGGTAAAAATCACCCAAAAATTATTTTTTTGGGAGCCTGAGCCCTTTAAATTAAAGAGTGCTTGAGAAGTTGTGAAGTTTCCTACATTATCACAACCGTGATAGTGACTATTATTGTTAATACCTACAATATACTAGTATGTAAGGTTTATACCACGGACTACGGTTTTATATGATGATATGTAAATTGATTAATTTTCCAGATTACATGAATGGTTGGTTAATATCGTTGATTATTGATAATATTACTAGTGGGGATTTCTCATTTTAGGTATAGGTGGTGCTTGTAATTATTTAACGTTTCTTAAATAATTTTCTGTATTTTGAAAAACATCACTCATGTATTTAAATTTTTACGCATGAATTATATATAAGTGTTGTACTTATATTGTGTCTATGTAATATGCGATTTTTCGATTTATTTGTTTTATTTTAATTAGTATTGTAACATAAATATTAAAATATTATGATAGGACTATTCTTTGATGTATTCAATTAGTATTTTTCTTTGCTATGTTACGTATTCTGGTGTTAAGTAGTCCCTTTCCATTTCAATGCATAGTCCTAACTTTATTATAAAAATAAGTGATCAAGCCTAAATAATTTGGATGTACCTATATAGATAAGAGCACTTTTTATTAAATTGTTCTAGATTTATTACATTGAAATCAACATAATTCGTAAAATAATATAAACAGTACAAATTGTCAAATATATCTTGATGATTAAAAAAAGCTAAAATATTTTAAAATTCTATCATGATGTCTAAAAAACAAAAAAAAAAAAACAAATAAAAATATACATATTTTTGTGGTGGTAATTGTAAATCTTTAGATTGGCAAAGTAATAGACCAAACTTTTGATGTGCAACTATACTCCACTCATCTGGAGTTGTAATACTTATAAGTTATTATTAATCAGTTATTTTATAGGAATTCGATTTTAATCTATTAAAAGATTTAAAAAAATATTCTGTTATTCAAAAAAAAAAAAAAAAAAAATACCTTAAAAATGATGTAAATGTATTTTATTTTAATATTGTTCTGTTATAGTGTGCATAATTATATTTTCGAAAAAAATAATGTAAAACTATTTTTGCTTAACAAAAAAACACTTAGATTTTATATTCAAACTATACATATAGAGTAGCGTATTCCTATTAATCAATAAAATATTGTTCTTTCTGTCTAATAAACGTTCTCTTAAATAAATTACATAGTAACTACATTCTAACACGTCAAATTAATTATGACTCATACGATAATATCTGAGATACAGTTTTAATGAAGAAATGTTAATAGATTATCTTTAAATACATGTTGTTTAAATCCCTTTTGTCAATATTATAATATTATTTTGATTTTTATTGAGAAAAATATTAATAAAATGTTTGATAAAGCTGTTAAATAAACTAGAGGAATGTATAAGAAAAAATAATAATAATTCAGACAAAACACCCGATAAATAGTTGTGCATTTGACGAATATATAATGTTACCTACCTATATTATTAATTACAGTAATAGATAAAAAGAAAATGTGTACGCAAAATGTAATTAAGTGAACACCAAACATTGTACGTCATACACGCTCAGAATTCAGATCATACTCGTATTACTATTTACAGGAAGTATTATATACATATACTATTCATATTGTTCTTGTAATAGATAAAATATAGTGTACTAAATTGTAAATGTTATCTTATATTATCAGTTTCCTAAAGTAAGTATAAAATGGAATAAAATACTCAGTGAACGTTTTGACTGCGAGTAAATTGTACAGTTTTTTTTTTGTTTTTTAAAAAAAATTAATTAATGATGAAACAATTTATTTTCATTTTTTGGATATTTTTTAGTTTCTCTATATTTCAAGTAAGTTTGTTTTAAATTATGTCGTTATTTTTTTATTGTAGTTTTTTTATTTTTTTATTTATTTAACGTTTAAAATAAAATTATATTACTATGTATAAGTAATGTATAATATTAATATATTCCATTTATTTTAATTAGGTACGATAAAAATATATTGGTGTATTTTTTTTTATGTATTGCCTTTATATTGTATTGTAAGTAATGGTTCATATCGGGTAATGATTTATTATATTTAATTGTTGATAAAACAACATCTTGTGCTAATGATTATGGGGTCTATATTATAAAATAATAATAATTAATACATAAATTAAAATATATTTTTCAGAATGGATATGTATCTGCATGTGTCTTGTGCAAATTTGGATCGATAGTTACAACTCGAAATACCTCCATTATAGTAAGCAATTTATTAACTTATTAAATAATATTGGTTTTTGATTATGGACAAAAATTAGGTAAGTACTTTCGGAACTCATATAATTAATGATTGGATATTGCGTCTACATTAAACCACTGTATTGTATTTTTTTTTAATTATTAGACGAGTAATATCAAAAATATAAATTACATTGTTTCCTTATTTTTAGAATAACACTTATATAATATATTATTTATAATGTTTATTTTAGAAATCAAATACTGATAGACCTAAGCCACCGGCCACAATACCAAATTCAATTTATGTACAAACTGTAAGTATTTTGTTGTTGTACAAATATTATAATTTAAATAGCTTAGAAAAATATTTTATAATCAAAAATTTAATTATAACAAAATTAAGGCGAAACTTGTTATTTTTTTAGAGGAAGCACCATCATATAGAAAACGATTTGCTAATTTCTATAAAGACTGTAGAAGATCTCATACAATTTAATTCTCAAATTTCATTGGCAAACTTATCAATGAATGAAAAAAGGTCGTTCATTATAACCTTAACGTCATTCTACGGTCATATGACAGCTCCAATGCCACATGCAATATCTATAAACTTGATGAAAATGTTAGCATGTTCACCTAAATTATTTTTTACAATTTCACAAGAATGCCTTAACTCTATATTGTCAGAATTAGCATTTAATCAATGCACATTGTACGAAATACCTACTGAGGATATTGTACCGTTTTTAAATGGATTGCTTTCATTATCCCCAGGTGTTTTAAACAAAATTCCTAGGGCTAGTTTCATTTCAACATTAGGATTGGTGTCATCTCCCGAAATTTTAAGTAATTTAACACATTCTTCAGTTATTAATTTGATTACAGTACTTTCAATGTCAAAATCGACAGTGAATTGTCTACAATTGCCAACTTTATTTTCATTACTGACATTTATAGCATCGAAATCTCTTATGGAAACAACTATTAAATTACCACCATCTACTGTTTTTGGTTTTCTGGAAGGGTTGTTAGTTACCCTTGACGAGTCGTCTCCTTTTTTGGTAAATGTAATACCGACTTCAGTACTCGTTGCGATATTCAAGCCCATAATGACCTCACGCATGTTAAGCACAATACCTATAATAAATTTTGACTTACTGTTGTCTGTTCTTGGTTCATCGCAACTATTAATAAGAGATTTACCAATTTCAAATTTTATTTCAACTTTTAATATTTTAATTACTTCACCAAAAATATTAAGTTCCTTGAATCCGAACAATGTGGCAAAATTACTATCCACAGTAGCCACATGTCCAACATTGTTAGACTTTTTACCTTCACCTTTGAAACGTCAACTTTTAGATTCAATAACTGTTTATTTACCGTCTTCTTTAGCTTGTATTTCTTCAGATGAATTTTTGTTGTTGTTTGGGGAAAGCAATTAGAAAATATCCATGTATTTTTTTTAATGCTGATTATAAATTTTATTTTTAATTAGTTCAAATATCTGTATTATATTTTATTTTTTATTTCTTATTTTTTTAAATGTATATTATATTTTCTATGTTATTGATTACATTGTCATTGTGTGGCTTCTCTTAAAAATTATATTACTGCAAGTTATTAAGGTACCTATATGCAACTTTATTATGGTTATTTCATTTGGATTTACATTACATTTTTTTTTTATTATTATTAAATAAAAGCCCACGAAAAATTTACTTATTGGAATTTAAGTTATATTACATAAAACTGTTTAAATTAAAATATTTTGTATTGATAGATATTTATAGTTATATGTATAGATAATATTTTTATATATTAAACAATTATTGTAATAGAGTACCCTATTTTAATGGACTAAATTCTAAATAAATAATAATATTAAAGATTATTTTTTTTTTTTTTTTTAACTTTTTATTTTAAAGCGTACAATCTGTAAATAAATTATTACAATAAGTACGCATGCGAAAATATATAATATAGCTTGACATCAACGTGATAAAAGCAGCCACCCAATGGCGACACTTTATGACATGATTAGGTTGAATTTAAATTTACCTTACCTATATATTTTAATTGATACTTAAGTCTCTACACCACTTTCTCTTCAGTTGGCGAGGAGGGTTACCAGGAATGGTGTCGGATCAAGGGCAGAGATTAGTGGACTGGAGTGGTTAAAGACAAATTAACATTTTTTTTTTTATTGTAATATATATTTTTTTAAACTAATTAAATGTACACATTTTAAAATTTTTTTTTTTATGACAATATTTTGGTTATAAAAAGAAACAAAGTGAGTAACGAAAAAGCCCATGATGTTCTCTACTAACGAAATGTCAAGTATAAAATTTATATTAAAATATTATGTATTTGTATCTTATAATTATACGATTTTAAATGCATAAATATATAAGTTATTTATAATTTATTAAATAGGACTTAAAATGTCATAACTAATTTATTTTATTATTTATTTATTGACTGATGAATTCCAATCATAATTAGCTGCAGATACCTAATTTAAATTTAAATATTGAATTTAAATAAGTATGCGTATATTATACTTAATTTACACATATTACAATTGTTAAGAAACAATTACATACAATTAATTAATTTAATTTGAGTGTTGTGTTGTACAAATATTTTACTATACTATTATTTTTATTGTAATATTAAGTAGTTACTAGTCAGATAGGTATGAATTATATTTTTGTAGATTTACTTGACAACATTTGAAATAATTTCACTAGTTCTGGTAAAATAAACTATACTTTTATACAATTTAAATTTCTAAACAGTTTAGGAAATTATGCTTGGGATTATTCATTTAAATTTCATTCTTTTTAACTGCAACCTTCACTGTACCTTGATAATAAACCGTAAGCTAAATATAGTACAGTAACCATTTATAAGAAAAATGAAAAATCCATCATAACTGAACAATTTCTTAAGATATGAATTATTCAGTTATACTCAAATTAGTGTAATATTATACTTACATTTTAAATTATTTTAAAATGTTTGGAAAAATCGTTTGTGTCATTCAGTAATCCATATAAAAAATAATATTATAATTTACTATCTATTTACAGATATAAAATTATATAATCAATAAAACGGTTTTTTAGTATGTGAGGGTTTATTTGGTTTTATTTTTAAATATCTTAATGCTTTAAATATTGTTATGCAATTTTGGAATTGAATTTCTAAATTTATGTATAATAATCAAGTTAGAAAAATAAACCTACATTATAAAAATTTAATAATTGAATTACCCTTGAGGTTTAGAAAACTCACATAACCTTAAGACAGCTTAATTATAGTCTGTTGCTCTATGGATAAAAATATCAGTGTAAAAGTACCTATCTAAATCATATAATATAAACATACATCTGCAATTATACATAACAAATAAATTACTGATAAAATGATTGAAATCACTTAATATACGTGAAGTTTTGAAAAACCAATGATTGACGATTTGAGTATAAAAACTAAACTATATTGCTAATTTTTATGTATTATTCAGTAGTACATCAAACAATTATTTATAAAATGAAGACTTTAAGAATTTTATTTGCTTTGGCATTGGCCTCTTTAGCTAAGGTAAGAATTATTTTACAACCCTAACGTACCTAAATATTATTTAATAATAATTTTATTAACAAGGTTGAACAAGTCCTTGTGATACATGTGCCGGGTATCCATACCTTCCAGACTTTTGTTTCCCGCTACCACCACTACCACCACCATGCACACTGCCACTTCCACTCCCTTGCTTACCACTACCATCACCTCCATGCCCACTTCTACTTCCACTTCCTTGCTTACAACCACCACCACCCCCATATTTACCATTACCACCATGCCACTTCCACTTTCTTACTTACCACCACCATGTTTACCACTACCTACATGCCCACTTCCATTTCCACTCCCGTATTTGCCACCACCATATTTGGCTTCACCACCATATTCACTTCCTTGTCCACCACCTCCATCGTTGATAGCAGTACCTCTAGCACCTTTGTCTGGTTTCTCTATTCCACCATTATGTCCACCTTCTCCACCATTATGTCCACCTTGTTTACCATTAAGCCTACCATACCCATCACTTCCTTACTTCTGTTAATATAGATTACTCCTTATTGTTGAATGCTGTCATATTTTTCTGTTTTATATTTTATCATTTTATATTTAAATACTTCATAAAAACTGCAAAATATTCTCAAATAATGTTATTATTAAAAAGTGCTGTAAAAATACTTATACATGTTCTTACATTTTGAAAATAATATAAAATTTATCAAAACCTACTTAATTATTAAAAAAAAAAAAATTAAAGGTTCATATAGTCTTTCTTTGTTTGCCACTTATATCTTATTATTAAGTTTAATTGAGAAGTTGTATGCAATATTATCCTATTAAATTATGAAAATATAAAACTATGCTATACGAGGCTATTGAAATCATCAAGTTAATAAGTTATAATAACGTAATGTAGATATTCGAAATTCGTAAAAATATAAACCATTGAATAAAATAATTCTTGTAATAATTTAAATTTGAAAGTATTAACTATTCCTAGTACACACTGTGTATCTTATAGTATGGTCTAAAATGTTCACAAAAATTTAATTTTTAGTTTATACACATACATTATTTTCTTTTATTGCAAATAAAATTGGTTTTTTTTTTTTTGTTTTAATATCTGAGTGATTGTAATAATAGAAATAGGTATAGTGACAAGTGAAAAAAAGGTAATGCTGATTTCAAGATATCCCGTAAATTTTTTGACTTAAAAATAGGGTGAAATGGTGTCTAAAAAAATTATAAAATATTAAATATAATCGGTTTAGTGCTTATGCAAATAAGAAACGTAATGAAGAATTTTTATTTTTATAGCTTTTTATGTAAATGAGAACGATAACTAATTTCAACGTATGTTCATGGTATTAGCGAGTTTATTTATGTAATAATTTAGAATATCAATTTATTGACTTCTAATAGTCGTGAGATACAATAATAGCCTATCTAATAAAATAATATTTTTGAATAGTAAGTTACCTATGTAGCTTATTAAATATAATAATAATATGGTAACTAATAGGTTGATATATTGCTATAATGTTTTTTTTTTATATTTTAATTTAATACCTATCTAGGTTCATCATATCCCCTGTAGATAAATTGTTTTATTAATTATCAAAAAAAAAATTTAAAAAAATAGTATCTATTGAGATCGTTTCATCAATATTGTAAAATAAAGTATAGATATTTGAAATATTACTTAGAAAATTGTTAAATAAAATTTAATCCATTAATTTAAGAATTTTAAATACACGAGTTTCTATATATATAATATATATATATATATATTATATATATTATAATTATATAATAATATATTAGTTTGTATTCGTATTTCCGAATAAAATATCTAGTTGTAAGTAATACCATGAATAATATTGTGAATTAAAAAATTAGGTACTTGTAATATTACTTATTAGTGTTAATTTTGAATATTTTGATTTTGATCAATGCTAACTACGTACATCTTGAAATAATAATGTTATAATTATCCGTAACACATATTTAGATAAATATTTGTACATGGACTTTTTGATTCATTAACATAGAGAGGAATAAATATTATAGTTGCGTAATTCACCTAGGTATTGATTACTACCTTGCTGAATGTTACTAATGATTATCCATCCAAAAAGTAGGTAACGGCCATGATATCAGAAAAAATTCATTATCACATACAAAATAATTTTAACAATTGATAGTTGAACTACTAACTATGCCACATAATATAATATACTACCATAGATATATAATATCTATACATACCCACTTAGGATTAGATTAACATCCATAACCAGAGCGTATAGTGAGAAATATTTGTATATTATTATGTAACTAAAATATAATTAATTTTCTTTTCTACAAACAGTTTTTGTTTTGAAATATGTTAGGATCATGAATTTTTCTTTACTTTTATTTTTTATTTTTTTAACATAAGTATTATATGTAACAATAATTATTAAAATAATAATGATAATAGTAGACAGGATATTTCAGAAGAAAATAAGTGTATGAGAAAAAATATCAATTAATTAATTTATAAAAATGACTTGTATAAAAAATGTTGTTTAGTAATAATCGTTAGTGTTTATTTAATGAAATCTTTGAAATATTTAAACTTCTCTCCTAATAAATGTATCTTAAATAAATAAATAAATAACATAACTAAATAAAAAAGAAATTATTTTGAAAAATAATATACATTTATTTTCACTGTCGCTCAGAATAATTTAAAATTAATTGGATGGTATACATATTTAAAAAATAATAAAATGTATTACCTATAACATAAATAAAAAACAATTTTTTTTTAAACCGATTATTATGAAAGAATGCAATTATTTAGTTTATAATTTGTTGTGTTGATAACACAAAACATTTCGTTCACATGTTTTATAGAGAGAAATTGTTTGTGAAAACAAATTTTTTTTGTTTAAGAAATATAACACCATCAATACGTGAAAGACAAATACAATAATAAATTAAATGTTGGTATTATCATAACCTGTGGTTTTTATTAGAAATATGAATGAAATTATAGTATTTAAGATCCAGGAAATTATTGACTGTTATTAAATGAATTTTAAATTTTTACATCACTCATATACATTTTGATAATTTATGAAATAAACGTGTAAGGTTTATTTTCAAATGCTTATACCAACTAGGCAGTTTTATAACTAATTAATAATATTATAAATCTATTGAAAATAATATGAATTATGAGAGTAAAAACACTAAAATATGTTCTAATAGTATAGTTTATATCTACTTTTAGAATAATTGTATCAAATTTGTATTGACGCTTTACGATCTCACCTGCGAGGCTGCGAGTTATATGATAACTGAATTATTTATTTACTAAGTTATTAATATTAAAAGTTAACTATATTACATTTATTTGTAAATAGTTAAATCATATCACCCACTTAATGCTATATATATATCAATGAGCTTGTAAATTTAAATTTAATTGTAGTTTTAATTTTTTTATTTACCTTTACATTCTTTTTAATGTTATTCTAATATTAATATAATCATAATTACCATTAGTTTAACTGTACTTGAAAAAAAATCTATTAATTATAGATGGGTTAATTTTACACGTGTTTATACATTTCGGTATTTAATTTGTAGTTATTCAAGAAATATTAACATTAACCCATTTGTTCTAAATATTCGTTCGTTCTGTTTTCTGAACCATTTAATTATGCTCTAGGTGAAAATTATGTATTATAATTACACATATTTTTAAAATGTTGTAAATCAATGTTCACCATCTCATTGTGCCATAGCTAAATTCCGGTTGAGTGATCACGTGGAACTGACACCACGCTGCGCTTTACTTCTTTCTTGTACCCAGCATAATTTTAATTATATTGGATAACAATTGAATAAGGTAAACTAAATACATTAAAACTTGGTCAATGATCGTATAAAAAATTCAAATTTGGTTTTCTAAGACAGTGTACCTATTTGTAATTTTAGGTTTTAAGGTAGATAATATAGTGTTAGGATATTACTCAATCTAAGTGTAAGTAAAGACTCAAACTTGGACCCAGTTTCATTAGTTTTGGTCGTGAAATTCATAATGCTTGTAAAATTGATTTTCCAGAACCACAGAAACGTTATTGTCTTTATGAAGTTTAATCTTATACGTAGAGTAATAATATATTTGATGACATTCGTAGAAGTCTGTTTGACACGAATGCTGATGTAATAATATCAGAGACGCTTCAAAAACAGGTGGGTATACGTTGATAGCTGAAAGTTATGTGTATAATATATCGTTATTAATAAAAGTGATGATTAATTTTTTCTCCGTTAATATCGGGGAACACAAAAATTTTTAACTCAATTTTAGAAAAAATATGTTATTTAATCTAAGAAAATATTACTTATAATAACATGTTATTGTCTAAAAATAAAAATGAAGGTATCTGCGTGTCCAAGTTCTTCAATCATGTTTTATTAATTGTTTATTAAATATTTAAATTGAAATTAAACCAACCTCGTCAATCGTCGGATTCTGTTTATGAACATCTAACTAATATTTAATATTATATTTAATTTTAGGGTCTAAACGATGGTAGTTTGTAAAACTTAAAGATGAATCTAAGGACGTCTATTACAATATTATTACTGAAAACGCAACTGAAGGTCGATCCAGCAGCAATCTAATGATTTATAAGAATTAAATGTGGTTTTTGTACATATAACTACGCATAACCTACATTTCGATTCAAATAAGTGTGGCAGACAAAATAATATACTCTATACTGTTATTATAACCGTTAAAATTTCAATATTTGTTTCAAAGTCAAAAATCATTATCCCGCTACATTAGTTTGTGTAGTTGTTCGATATTTTTTTACTCGAGTCAACGTATCATTATGCTTACAATTAATAAAACCTATATATTAAATCATTATGTGATATTATTCACTTGATAAATGATAGTATATTTTAAACCGATTATGATAATATATACATTTTAAGGTTAATAATTTACCAGGTATGTAAGTATGCATGTAACAACCTAATCGGACTATACATTAATTATAACTTTTTGAATGACTACACGTTTATTACGTGTATATTCGTAAGTTTTCCTTTTACATACATGTTATAAAATATTATAAATAATATTATAATTTTATAGGTATGAATAAAATATGTATAAGCTGAATCCGGTGATCAATAATGAAAATTCACTGCGTGTTATGGGATATATTAAAATATAACTATTACACCAAAAGTTCTCGAAATTGTATTTTAAGATTACAAAAAATTAATTACCAGCAATTACCTATATAATATCTATAGCTACGTATACAGCGACCATAATAGGATTTTTTTCCTATACATAAGTATTTTTGGTGAGTGCAATGTTCATGTTTAATGTAATACTTGGGTATGTATATTACCTTCTAATTTTCAACTACTCAATTATTCAAAATATTCAATGTTAATTTTTTTTTCTAATATAAATTGATTTTGATATCATTATATTATTATTATTATCCAGATTAAACTAAAAGAATATTTAAAAATAATGATTAGAAGAAAATTTATTGCACAATATCTATCAATTTTTTCTTGTTATACTGGCACTATTATTTTTCCCCTTATTTAAGAATTTAAGATCCATTACTTCTAAGTTTTTAAGGTTATAATTCAATAAGAAAACATATTTTTTTAATTAATAAAACTTATGTCGTAATTATTAATTATAGCTTAACACTCAATTTAATGTAGTTAAATATAGTTATATATCAAAAACATGTTATATTAAGAAGACACGGTTGTAATATCAGCAGATACTTAAAAAAACCCATTTAATTGGGCATATATAAACATATATAGCATGGGAAGTGTTCATTAAGTCATATTCACATTGTCTAATCAAGTATTGTATTTAGCGGAAAATTTATATCCATTTAGCTCAATATCTAAGCTAGTCGTTGACATTTCTGAAATTTCGCTTTGTGCTTTAGATTATATTTGAACATTTGCCAAATATTTAATCTCATAGATATGGAAAGAAGATTTATTTAAATATGTTGTAAAAAATGTTACCATAGAAATTTAAACAGCTATTTATGTTCTATAATTATTATTGAAGTCAGTAATTGTGTGATAAATCCAGCTGTATTCATATTATCATAACGCCAATAAACACACTTTCTATAGCCTTTTAATGAATAATACAAACATTTATTATCTTATTAAACTTAAAAGATTAATCTATGTGCCTTATAATCAATTAGCTTTTCTAGCTATCTTATGAAAGTCGATATAGTAGCAAAACTCATTATATTATTTTAATAAAAAATAGTGTAGATGCATAATAATTATATATAAATGTATACGCTCATAAAACAACGTAAGCATGACAATTTTATTAATAGTGTATACCAATACCACTATCCAGAATGGAAATATTATATATTTCTAATATTAAAAATTGCTATCTAATGATTATATTTTTATAGATATTTAAATGATTGTAATATTATACATAATTTGTTTCTAAGAAGTGTAACAAATATTTTTATTTAAGGTAATTTACAATATTATGTCACTACTTGTTAGGTCTACAACCCTTCAATGAAATTTTGTGTAACATTTCTATAATTATGTTATTTAAAACTAGTTGTATCAAATTGTATTCCTTAAATAATTTATTTTATGCACCTATGAGTATTTAAACACTTACCAGATTATGTTGTTTTTTCTTTTAATGATAAACATAGAATCGTGAAAACTGTTCAAAAGAAAACTAGAGGAGTAAAAATATTTTTAAATAGTTAAAAAACAAAATAACAGACCAAAAACCTGAAATATCATTTAAATGTTTTAAGTAGATTTTATTTTATTAAGTACCTATTAAAATTTACTACAGAGTTTCATTTGGAATAATAGTAAACTATATTATTGGTGTTTTATTAAATGTATTAATTATACATCCTTCAAATCAAATCAAAACTGGTGTGATGGAACTTATCATACACCAAATTTATCAATATAACTGAAATCGTGTCATTCTTTTCAAACACAAAAATAGTGTATACTGAAATATGATAGTGCCTAAACAAGAAAAAAAAATCAAGCTAGGTAATACTGTTTGTAGTTTATTAAATTACTTTGCACGATCCACATAAAGTAGCTCTTAATGACGAATCATTTTATAATATTATTGTTGGATGGTTACAAAACATAATATAGTAGGTTTACATTATTGTGAGTTACATGACATAATATACCTGCTATGTACCTATTCTATATACCACTAAGAAATTTACTAATTATTATCCATGAATTATATGCAAAGTAGTATTTTGTTACAAATTATTCATTATTATTATTTAAAAGTAAAAACTAAATATAAAAATACAAATAAATATCTTAACTTATATGTACCCATTATATATATTTGTATATGATACTTAATTGTGATCATAGTTTGGAAATTATGAAATACCTATCTTATTTTTTTTTTCAGTTTGTTAATGATAAAATAAAACACAATTTAAATGTATTAACAAATTTTAATGATAAACTAGAATTATATACAGAGTAGTTAATTTATTAGTAAGTACTTATAAAAAGAATTTACTCTTTTTTTAAATAAATAAATAATTTTTTCTGCATAATTTTAAACCATTACAAAACATTTAAAAAATATTTATATTTTTTACTATTTTTTATTGTTAACATTTTTTAAAGTTTATACTTTTCTGATTCAAAATGTATTTTTAAATGTTATATAATGAAAAAATAAATTTTATAAATGAGTTTTTCATAAGACATAATTCATCAGTATTTTAATTTTAAAATTTGGATTATCAGAGTTGTACTACAAGTTTGGGAACCCTACATGCCCAAAAAATGTTAGTGCACATTTACATTGATCAAAATTTTAAATCCTTATAGATAATGCTAAGATTTATGTTCGTTGGTACATTTTTTTGCAGTAGCTTTTTACACATTTGGTTAATAATGTCCACGAATTGCCTCATATGACATTGTATACATTATAAAAGTTTTATTTTGCATATTTTAAATATAAACATAAAAAATGCCCATCTCATGGTATATTTAAAAATAAAGTTATGTAAAAACCAAAAAAGCTAGATAACACGTCATATTGTGTTCTTAATTTAAATTTCATAAAGTCAGTAACTTTTTCTTTGATGAAAAAAATGTATTGAAGATGGAATGTATTTATTTAAAACTGATGCTAAATAAAAACGATTTTAATAAAAAATTACCTTAATTCAATTAAAAAATGTATTTATTTTTTAATATTTTTGTTTTGTTAAAATAAAATTTTATTTTCAAGGTGTTTAGTGTGTGTATACAATAAATATTTCTTTAAAATATTGTATTTGGAAATTATTATTTAGGTAAATGAAAAAAATAAGTTAAGGTAACAGAAATTTAAAGACTATTTAGGGTTTAGAGAAGACTGATATCAGGATGACACTAGGTCTTCCAAAGTTAACGTATTATGTTCGTTCTGTGGAATTTGTAATTTATTTTGATAATATTAATTATGTTTTAATGTGTGTATGTGTGTGTGTGTGTGTGTGTGTGTGTGTGTGTGTGTGTGTGTTTTATCTAAATATTTTTGAATGAATAACTACAGTTGATAATATTTTAAGTTAGCGTTATAAATGTTTTTACAGTGCATATTAAGTATTGCTTAGAAACTTAGATTCTCCTGTATCTACAAATTAATATAAACTATTATTTGGACACATCTTTACGTGAGTTAATTGCTATGTTGAATATAAACTTAAAATACAATGTATACCAACCAAAAAAAATCTAACAATAATTTCAACACCAGTGATTTGCATCCATGTTTGATATTTAAAATTATTCACTTAATTGTACCGAAATAAAACTAACATAAAAATGTTAATATCTTGAAATTATTCTTAAATGTATGTTAATAATAAAACATATAATGCGATAAAATATTTTTTTTTTTATTCTTACTGTCGAGTCGTTCAGCAAAAAAAAAAAAAAAAAAAA